GGGAATGCTTATCTCCTCGAGCGCGGCCTTCATCAAACCATTCCATCACAACGAGTGACATTAATTTTTGGTTTTGGTCCTATTCTAGAAACTTCACGTATGAAGATGTGTTTGTTACTATTCCTAGAGATATTGCTCAGCTCTCAAAAAAAGCTGGAGTGGAAAAATTGATTCACTTTTCTCACTTAAACTCAGACAGTAAAAGTCCTTCAAAATACCTTAGGAATAAAGTAAGTTGTTCAGAGTTTTTTGTTTTTAGATTCTGCTGCTTTGTAATTGTATTTTGAGGGTTGTGGGGAGAACCCTAACCCTCTCCCCCATGAATTTACTCAATCCACTTGGAAAGCTAGTGCCCCTCCTTACGTCTTTTACTGTGGTAATGAATTCCCTGGTTAATGAGGTGGTGTGCAAAGGAGTGTTTTCTTCTTCTTGATCGAAATCTGGCTGCCCCTGGCCCTGGGTTTCGTGAGAGGGAGAACGGTAGCGCCTGCTCCCCTTTCTCCCCTCCAGGCCTGATTCTGCGCGCCTCAGTCACTTCCCCCTCACCGGCCCTTTTTCCACCCTTTTCCCACAGGGAAGATGCTGAATCGTCCTGGTCGTTTTGGTGACCCTTTGGCCTCAGTTGTTCATGTCTTTTTTCAAGCAGGCCAGTCAGGGTTCCGCACGGTACTCCAGATGCGGATGTACCATACGTTTTTGTGAGGTTGTTACGGTGTTGGCGTGTTCGGTTCTTTTCATAATGTTCCCTGGCATGGAATTGGCCTTTGTCTCGGCTGCCGCATGCTGAGTGGATATCTTCATTCAGCCGTTTACAAAGGCCCTGAGATTTTCTTTCCCCTTTGGCTTAAATAGGAAAGTTGAAATCAGTAGTGTTTGGTGACCCTTCTGTGGCTCTTGCCCTTAAGCAGGTATTAACAGAGAAGTGGAAGCATCAACAGCATTTATTCTGGCTGCTTACAGAAGCTTACTTTGCTTCTTGGCATGTGTCTGGCTTGAATTGTAGTAATTTCAGTCCTGTGTCAGGCTGGAATTGGCCTCTCTTTTAGCTGCAGCCTATCTTTACCACACTGCGTGAGAGTTTGTTGGAAAGGGGATATAGCCCTGTCATAGATTTTAACTCACCTCCTCCTAAGATTGCTTGCATGGCTAATATTACCCACAGTGGGGTGAAGTGTAATACAGAATATGAAACTAAAGTTATGAACACAATAATTAATATTGTTTGATGACATTCCCTGAGCCTTATAATTTTAGTTACCATCAATTATCTTGGAAGTTACTTAATATTTATTTAGGATAAATTATTAAATTGTTATACTGTAATTTAATTGATATTTATCTTTTCTGTAAACTGTCCAGAGTAACCTTTAATGAGATGGGCGGTGACAAATTTGATAGATAGATAGATAGATAGAAAGATAGAAAGAAAGATAGAAAGAAAGAAAGAAAGAAAGAAAGAAAGAAAGAAAGAAAGAAAGAAAGAAAGAAAGAAAAAAGAATAATAATAATAATAATAATAATAATAATAATAATAATAATAATAATATTAGAGTTCAGAGTCTGGTTTGGTTAATGGCTTTTCTGTTGGAACAATACAGGTAGTCTTTGGCTTACATCAGCAGTTGGGACCAGAATTGCTGTCGCTAAGCAACACGGTTGTAAAGTGCAACGTCAAGTGACCATGTTACTTGGCAATGGCAATTCCAGCAATCCCAGTTGCCGTCATTAAGCAAGGACCACACGGTCAATTAAGCAAGGACTTCACGTGATTCCGACTTCCTACTGGCTTCCCCACTGACTTTGCTTGTGGGAAGCTGGCAAGGGATGTTGGAAATTGCGATCACGTGACCAAGGCTCACTGCAACAGTTGGAACTCAGAGAACCCATTCATAACTTTGAACGGTCGCTGAACAAATGGTCATAACCCAAGGACTACCAGTAATTACTAAAGAAGTTGGAAGATGTTGATAGGATATTTTAGGTTCCTTCTGTTTGCTAAAAAGATTTCACAGAGGGGCGATTGGGTGGTTGCAAAACAGCAGCTGCCATAGTTTAACAACCAATTTTAATTAGTTAAATTTTATTTATGGAATTTGTACATTGCCTTAATCTGGTTGGTTTGGTAATATATGTTTGCACATCCTTATAGTAATGTCCATGCCTGGAAAAATCTATCTTCTATCATTTTAATTTTAGTCATTTTAATTTTTGATTCCTGCCAGAATTTTGCTAAGCAAAACCAGGTACCAGTTTTCACTCAAAGATTGTCCTCACTGCTAAGGTGTTCAGCTTCATACCTTGGCCAGATTATTGAGGTTGTACAAACATTGAGATGATCAAGTGTACAATTTAGGGAGGGGGTAGCAAGATGTAACAAGCTCTCTGTATTATTTGGCTGATGAAATTCTGTCTATCTTGCCCTTGTATGAGAAGTTTAATAATCTTCCAATGACTTGATTATAGGCAGAAGGAGAAAAAATTGTGAGGGAGGAATTTCCAGATGCCATCATTATGAAGCCTTCTGAAATATATGGGAGAGAAGATGGGTTTTTAAACTATTATGCAAGTAAGTATATTTATTATAATAGGTAAACTATTTTACTAAATAGACAGGTATATGGCAGAATATATCTTCATATTGTTGTGAAGGCTTACTGAAGTTGCCTTCCATTCTGTGGTTACGCTATTTGTGTGAAAAATCTGCATTAAGATTCTCATTTAAATCTGCCCAGTAATAAACCTTTTGGATTTTGGTCACAAATTGTAATGGTGTCTTGTGGTACTAGGAAATAATGCTAGTCTACTTCAGTTGGGGGGATTTTCCATTCAATTACCTATAAATATTGTACATTCATGGTTATTAGATCTGTAATACCATGGTTAGTATTTTTTATCCAGTCTTGGGTTTCCACATCTATATAATAGCTTGTCATCCTTTTGTGAATAGTGGAAATTTTCTGGATTTTGGGCAATATGAATATGTAATTAAGCCCTTTTGAGTTCTGTTAGGCTTATTTCAGATCTTAAGTGCAGAGCACGTGCAGTTGCTGTCATTTCGAACATTAACTTGGCTATCATCCACCATTCATATATTTCTGGCACTAGCATTGAAAAATTACAAAATCTCAGCATAATATAAATATTAAATTCTTCTTCAAAGTGCCTCCTTTGATTAAAAATGAAAAATGATAACTAAGCAGATGTAGAGATACACAGTGTTTAAGATGTGGAATCATGATTTCTTTAAGACTTCCAGGATTGTGGAGTCCTTGGGGTTCTCTAGCTTGGTTCAACCACGCTCAGAGAACCCCAAGGACTCCACAGTTCAACCCTGAGCTACACATACTTGCTTTTGTTGGTACTTCCAGGATTGAACGATGCAGACTTTTGAGAACAAGGGAAGGTCTGCTCTGCTGTCCCCTCTGGGATCAAATAGGATCTGTCTTCCTGGAATCCTCTTCAACGTTATTCCAGCTTTTGTTGGCAAAACCAGTAGTGGCTAGTACTTGCTGAAGCTGATGGGTGTCAACCTAGGTAGAGGAATCTGTTGTTCCTCTACCTCCTGTGCATAAATTCTAGCAGCCCTTAAAATCCTAGAATTAGAAGGGACATGTTAGACTATCACACTGCTTGATCATGTTTAGCTTGTGATCTTCAGGGACACCCAGATCCCTTTCACCTGCATTATGGCCAAACCAGGCCATAAGTAAAGCGGATAAAGTTTTTTTTTGCTGGTTCATGGGATTGTTTAGCCCAATGGAGCCTCATCCCACCTTCATATGAATTTTGAAGACTTTGCTTTGTCTGTTATCAAATCTTAAGTCACAGACTTATATCTTTCAACTTACCTGTCTTGACATAGATATGCGACGGTCTGGCGGAGTGCCTATGCTTGCCTTTGGCAAGAAAACTGTGAAGCAGCCTGTCTATGTAAGTATTGATTAAATGCATTTCATGCCTATTTTGCCTCACCTCAAAAATTTTACTTAATCCTATAAATATTTTTTTCTCTTAAATATTATTTGATAGGTGGTTGATGTAGCCCATGCGATAATTAATGCTATCAAGGACCCTGATTCGAAAGGAAAAACATATGCACTGACAGGGTATGTTTTCTGTTTTTACTTCTCTCATATAAATAACTAATGTATATGTTCTCTCTTTAATGTTCTTGTGTTTCTTTTTTTTTTAAAACCCTGAAAAATATTGCACAGAGAATTTATGTTTCCTTTATGTCATAAAGAACTCTTTGGGGCTGAACTTGGAAAGTATAGCTGTAGGGTGAGTTTCCTCAAACAGTCAAAGAACATTGTGCAAGAAATTGGATTTCGTACTCTGGACAGATCTGTTCTGTGGGCTTGTCTGGATTTATTGATGTGTTAGCAAATTTCCCAGTTTCATTTGGGAAAGATCCTTCAGCGTGTGTGTTGTCCCAAGCAGATCTCACAGTCATTGTTCATTGCAAGTACCTTTTGAGATGATGTACACATTTGGAATTTGAGAGCATGGTGTGACCACTTCCACAACCCAGTCGTTGTGGGCATGGCCAATCAGAAAAGCTGACTGCTGAGAATGCTCTCAGCTTAGTTTTCTGGGCAGGCTAGCATGATCCTGGGCTGCAAACCTTTGCAATTTTTGTTTTCTGAGAAAGGGTCCAGGAATAGTTCACCCCCTTCCAGAATAGAATATGGTTCGCTATGTTCCAAATGCAGACAGGTCCTGAGAGTTATGGCTGTGAGCTAGAACATGCAAATTGCTTCCTGTTCTAGAAGATACATTTTGGAAATGACAACATTCTACTACTTCTCCCTGGAATGTTCAGGAGGACAAACGAACACTGGGCGGCTTTGCCCCAAATTGCTCTCGGGCTCTTCCCAGGGCAGGAAGTCCTCAGACATCACCTTGACCCACCAGTGATAGGAAGCCATAGCCCTGAGCTTCCAACTCTGAAGGAGGGCCCAAGACTCTCTTGGGAAGAACCTTCCTTCCTTGGGGAGGAAGCCTCTATAGGACCTATAGGTTCACTTTTCTCTCTAGAACTCCTCTCACTGAATTCTAGAGTTGGATGGGATTGTTGAAGCCATATGGTTTAGGAACCATATTAAATCATCCTTCACAGAGGACGTAAGGAATTCTTACTAACTCTTAGCAGGATTTTTGGTCTGTGCAACTTGGGACCAATCCTGGAACAATGGAGAACAGGTCTTCACCTACTTCCCCAGGGCAGCCTTTTAGGGACTCGGAAAGGCTTGGGCTCCCTGTAGGGTGGTTTCCAGTTTACTGATCCTCCTCCTTGCTGTTCTTTGGAGCAATTTTGGTTAATCTAAGTCTTTTTAAAGTGGTGTACCCTGAGTTGGATGCCTAATGAATTTCTGCCTAATGAAGACTAACCTGGAACTAATACTAATAATTGTGATTTGGAAAGTCTGGCTCTATTAGATAATATTTCATTGTTGGAAAAGGTGCTTTCAGACTCCTTCTAATTTTTCGCTATCCTAGACTAACACAGCTCTCCTCCTCCAATATCGTAATCAGTTTGTGATCTACCACAGTTCCAAGACTTGTTCACACTTACTATTCTAGATCAAGAAATGTCAATTTTTTTGTAACTTTGCATTTCTCTGTTATTATTTTTCCAACTGATTTTAATTATTTAAGAACAGTTGGAATATTCTTTTGGTCCAAAGACATTAGCCATCTGGTCCACTTTTGCGCACTTGATAAGGTTCCTTCCACCACATTTTCCAAGTTATTCCAAAAATGCTGAAGAGTTACGCTCCTAGGAACTCTTAGTGAGAAATATTGGTGGCCCCTTTTGACGGGGGGGGGGGGGGGGTTCC